TCACACTTACCTCCTGCAACCCCGAACATTGTCCAACAGTAAATGTCCCTTGTTTTCATTTCGATGCTCGACAAAAGCGGCTAGCTCGGTCCCTTTGTGTTGACTGGCACGCGAGCAGCACTGGCTGCACGCACTTGTCGCGTGAACTGCATGAGAGATTTCTTACGTCATTAAGAATGTGATTTCATCATCATTTCACTGGTCTTCGACCTACATGGTCAGGGAAAGTCCCGGGTCGTAGGCCTACAACACGGTCAGCGTGTTCTTGAGCGCAGTAACAACACAAGTGTGATCACTTCCATACCAACGGCGTTCGATCAAGGCGAGTAACAAGCGGACTTGACAAAGGTGACTCTGAAATCTCGTGAGCCGTGGGCCACGCGACTTGGCATTCTTGCGTCACTAGGCACGTGATTTCACCGTGCTTCTTGCAATAAAATTCAAAAACTGCGCTCAGGCCTTCAGTCACTTTTGCATCAACAGTCGCACAAAAAAATATTGGTGGCGCAAGGAGAAGCTTGTCGTTTGGAGTGACAAGTGATCACTGCTGCTTTTCCTTGTCAGAATCAATACACTTTGTTCTGCGGCCTTGGGAGTAGTGTTGGAGTAGAAATTGCAGAGGAGACGTCGCGGAGGGGCGAGCTTTCCTGCGCAGGTATGGCTTTGGCCGTATTTCAGCATGGTCGAGTGGAAAAATTCAAAAAAGTTTATTTCAAGAAAACCCCAAAAGGAACATCTCCCGTACTGGCTGATTTTCTTCTCATGCCATGAGGTGTTGTCTATAATAATAATAATAATAATAATAATAATAATAATAATAAGATGGGGGACTTGTCCTCAGCGCTGGAAGAGGTGTTCTACTATCTGCCGGTGTATAGTTCTGGCCAATTGAGGACGTAGCTGGCTGTTTTGCCAGCGCTTGTAAATTGGCAATTTTCAAGACGATCATTTGTGGCGTCAGGGGGCTGATGGACCTCGTCTTCTGGGATGCTGGCATGGCTAAGCGGTACTTCTCCAGGAACTCTTCTAAGGTGAGGCAATGTTGGCTTGATGGAGTTTTGTTCATAGCTTGTTCGTATACGGTGTGGCGTGACTCGTTTCTAGACCCATGAATAATGTGATATTTCGGCCATTTTTGAGGGGTATGCAAATTTCAAGGTTCACTTCAGAAACCTAATCAAGGGCTTTGCACAATCGATCCACCGCCCCAAGGGAACCTACCTGCAAATTTTGAGCGAAATCGGAGAGATCCACTTGCACACATACTTTGGTATTCTCAGACATGATCTCTTAAAGCTTTTCACCCATTTTCATCAGTAGTTACATGGGAAAAAGCAAGAACGAAAACGAAGCCAGAATTTATACTGGTGGTAGAGAATCAGCAAGAATATTCTTACGCACCTCAATTTCTCGCTACACTACCATAAGAATGTATGGAGCAGTGGAAAAATCCGGGAAGCAACACATGAAAGGAATGCAGTACCAGAACAAAAACGTGATAAAGTTGTCAGCCCAGTTGCAGCTTGAACAGCCGCAGCACCTTGATGTGCTTCTTTTGTCGACACAGTTCTAACCATGAAAGTGGGTGAAAAGCTTTTAGTACTATGAAATTGACAACTTTGTTGTTGTGTGTATACCCAATGCTGTAGACAGCAAGCTGTTTCGGCCATAAAGGCCTCATCAGTACAGCTACGAGCTGTGTGTATATAAATTGTGTTCGCCTACCTCTCTATCTCTAAAAAATGCTTTGCTTCACGGAAACGTAATTCATTGTGAAGAGCTGCGCTTCGGTCCTCTGAGCTGTGCTGAGGAGCTCTAACTGAGCGAATGAGTTGCTGTTAAAAGATTTGAGTAATATAATTATATATATACACACAACAACAAGGTTATCAATTTCATTATACTAAAAGCTTTTCACCCACTTTCATCAGTGATTGCATGGGAATGAGCAAGAACGAAAACGAAGCAAGAATTTATACTAGGGGTAGAGAATCAGCAAGAATATTCTTACGCGCCTCACGTTCACACTACACTACCATGAGAATGTATGGAGCAGTCGAAAAATGCGACCAACAACACATGAAGGGAATGCAGTACCAGAACAAGCACGTGATAAAGTTGTCATTCCGGTTTCGACTTGAACAGCCGCAGCACCTTGATGTACTTCCTTTGTCGAAATAGTTCTGGCCTCAAACTGCGAATGTATGGCGCCTTCAGCGTCAATTGGTGCGCGCTGTTCCGGGCTGGTGTGATGACACTGAAGCTGCTGTTGTGTTCCAGCGGGATGCACTTGGGTGGCGCTTGCAAATGCTTGGTGATCGCGCGATCACTTGCCACACGTTTGTCAGGCGGTTTCTCGTACAGCTTGTCTGGGATAGCTGCTTGATCCTTTCCGAGAATTGCTTACATGTATCACCAACGTACGTCTGATCACAGCGCCACGTATACTTATAAACTAAATAATTATTACCATTCTCAAGATTTGGTTAAGCATCCTTCGCGATAGACCTAGATGCGGGCCTGGTTGTATAAATTACAATGGAGGATACTATAGGATAGCAGTTCAAAATTGAAGCTTTAATCTTTTTGCGGGAGGCAATGCAATTTTTCCCTTTCCATGGCCATTTTGTGATAATACGCGTTGCAGATTCGCGTTTGCAGATGCTATATCTGGGCTAGATCCAAGAACGCTTGTCATGACTCGCTTGAGTACTTGTGAGTTGGTAACCGTTAGAACACAGAATACCCTCTAGTTTAGCAATTTCAGCTGGTAATAGTGATGGCGAGCAGATGTGTGTAGCTCTGAAAGTTAATGATCTGATCAAATTTATTTTGTTTCTAATGTCACAAAAGAGTCCCAGCAGGTGTAAAGACCTGTGAGCGTCGGTTCTCTATATACTGTGGTGAGCAATTCTGTGGACGAACGCTTTTATCAATACACCAAGAAACGGAAACTCTGCATTATTCTCCTCCTCCATTGTAAACTTGAGAGCTGGGTGAAGATTATTTAAACGCTCAGAGAATTCCAATGCCAGTTTACGGTGGTGAAATGCTGCGAATGTGTCATCCACATAACGCCTATATAATTCGGGCCAATGACTATCTGGAATTGTGTTCTCAAAATATCCAACAAAGATATGGGCTAGCACTGGGCCCAAGGGTGAACCCATGGCTACTCCGTCTCGCATTGCGTACGTATTGCCATTAAAACTGAATTGCACGTCTGATGTGGCTTTGAAAAGCAGCTTCTTGAAAAGATCTTGGGGTATTTGCGGGGCTGACATTTCATCATCATGGTATAGCGACTTTATGCAGATATCGTTTCCTTGAGAGGCACGTTTGTAAAAAGGCTGACTAAATCGAAAGAGCACAGGAACAGCGATTCAGAGTTCTCTGCTTGCTGCTGACCATGATAATGAAATATCAGCCCCGCAAATACCCCAAGATCTTTTCAAGAAGCTGCTTTTCAAAGCCACATCACACCTGAAGCACTATTACAAGAGAGAGAAAAAAAGATAAAACATCACAAAAAACTGTTCTCTCTATATACATACACTTACCTGAGCGCGAACTCTTGCCGCTCGCCTTGTTCACCATTCACTGCTTGGAGCATTTCCAGCACTACTGGCGGTGTTTGCAGCTCTTTATAAAAATGCTTTGCTTCACGGAAATGTATTTCATTGCGAAGAGCTGAGCTTCGATCATCTGAGCTGTGCTGAGGAGCTCTAACGGAGCGAACTAGTTGCTGTCCACAGATTTGAGTAACTGTTCATGTGGCCTCATTTCCTCTGCGCTGCGCTAATGAGTCCACAAAGGACGGAACAGTTTTGTCCGCAGATTGAGTATTTTCGCTCCTGCTCTTGTAGCAGTTGAGCACTCTTGCGTAGGGTAGTGCCTTTGCTGTTTGCGCTATGCAGGGCTCACTGACTTGCCAGTTTGAGCACTCTGGCAAGGTACGTTCGGGCCTGGTTTAAATCTGGTTTTGGAAAATTTACTTTTCATTGCCTTCAGGTTCGGCCTCATTTCCTCTGTGCTGCGCTGATGAGTCCACAAAGGACGAAACAGTTTTGTCGCACATTGAGTATATATATACAGAGCGAAACAGTTGCTGTCCACGTACTTGAGCATATATGAGGGTCCCTGGTTCGAGTCCTGGTGGTGACAGTCAATTTTTTCTTCAGACTTTTCCCGTTTGTTTCTTTCCCTCAAACCAGTTAATATATATATTATAATTTATCACTCTCTTATTATTGACCCCCACAGAAACTTGTGATCTCTAAGCGGTCAAATATCAGCATAATAAAAATTGACCGCTTATATTGACCACTTATTATTGACCACTTAGCCCGAGGACTTAGAACTTTTTCCTCAACTTAGAAAAAAATCAGAACTGAAAGAAGAAAAATCTGAAGTCAAATGCTAGGATTTGAACCCAAACTGTCAGATTCTCAGTCAAAGAACTTGGGGAACATACTACAAGAGACAACTGAAAACTTCGGTTTACACAGAAGTAATGTCCAATGTAAACGGCATATGTACATACTATTATACCATTACAATAGTATTCCTTTCTTCCTATAGCAAAGCAAAAACAGTTTTAGGTATGCTATGTCGTGATACATCTATTATTGCCCTCATAATCGGTCAATATATGAAATATAGACCTCGTAAAAGACCTTGGGGGACCTCGGTCTTTTACTCGTTCTATATTTCATATATTGACCTCTTTAATCGTGCAATAATAGATACGTAATTTTATCTTTCCCGTGGTCACGTACCCGGCACAGAGTCCAAACGTCAAATTCAACAATCTGGTGTCTTTCAATAGCTTCCATAGCGAGCCGATCTGCTGGCTATGGAAAACAGCCATGAATTGCTGCCGGCAATATTGGACTGTTGGCGGGAATATCCGGTAAAGAGGTTCGAGAATGTTGTTCAGCAATCAAATTCAGAGTGCTTCTAAAAGCCCCGCTCGTTATATTGGTGTTTTTTCTTGACAGCTGCACACGATGAGGAAAGCACCAGTTCAGACGATGAGGGAGGCATCAATGCAGACGATGAAGAAGGCATCGATGCAGCGGAGGAGAGGAGAGCGGGGGAGAGGAGGAGGGAGTTCCATCGACGAGTCGTGATGGACCTCAACCGACCAAGAGACCGACAGTTAAGGGAAGCCGCTGATCTACCCCCGCTACCTATGCCACCTGGAGAATTTCAGCGTCGGGGTGGGGTGATTGGAAACGAATGGGGTGCTGCAGAAAGAAGACCACTGCTACCACCTAGAGATGATGAACAACAGCCTGGTTTGGGCCCATACCAAGGACCTGAACAACGGCTACAAGGGCTTGATTGGGGTAGAGCACCTGAACCACGACCTCCCAGGCCTATGTTAAACCCTCCTAGAGCAGATCCAATAGCGCTTGGTGTGCCCAATATGGGCAATCCTGGTCAACCTGGACCTCTGCCTCATAGACTAGGTGAACTACGTCCAGATATGGTTGGGCCTGACTTTGGTGGAGCAGCTGCACGACCATATATGGGCAATCCTGGACAATCTGGACCTCTGCCTCATAGATTAGGTGAACTACGTCCAGATATGGTTGGGCCTGACTTTGGTGGAGCAGCTGCACGACCACCGATTCGGCGTGACTTGAAACCCCCTAGTCCGCTTCACTTAAGACCTGGAGAAATTGAACAACCTGAATTTGCTGGAGCAGCACGCAGCGTCTTGGACAAAGAAGAAAGAGATCTTGCTAGAGAACCTGGTCGACCTCCGAGAGCATCTGAACCATTTTACGGAATACATCACCCTGATTTGGGCAGGGCAGCGTCGGCCAGTTCAGCGGAATCACCAGCACCAGCACCAGCAGTTGGACAACAGCCGATCAGGCGTCAGGTGAAACCTCCTGAGAATCCTTTCTTGGGAAATCTTGGCGAACCCGGACAGCCGCGTGTAAGGCCTAGGAGAGACCCTCCGAGAGCATTTGAACCATTTTCAGGAAAACATGGTCCTGATTTGGGCAGAGCAGCATCGGCCAGTGCCTCGGAACCACCAGCACCCCTACCTCCCGGTCAAAGAATATCGCCAGTAATTCCTAGACCTAATGATGATGGAACAGCATCCAACTCCTCGGACGAAGATAGGGCCGAAGATTAGGAAGGTGTTACTGGATAGCTCAAGTGTATTGTTAAGCGTCCTTCTCTGCTAGTGTATTGTTAAGCGTCGTTCATCTGCGCCCGGGAATCAGGAAAACACATTTTGCTTGAAACAAATAGGAAATGGTTGAATGCGAAAAGTTTTCTTTTTGGATGAAACGAGGATTCTTTCTAGTTCGTAGGGTTCTTTCTAGTTCGTAGGGAATGAACTGAATGCAGCAACAGTCGAATTCTTTTAGCTATCAGATATATTTTAAACTCGGATGTTGAGCCATACAAAATGCTGTTGGTTAGCGCTACGGAGATGTGTTGAATGTCTCAGTACTCTTGTCAGTTTTGTGCCTAGTTATTGCACTTTCTGACTGTATATATTATCCAGTTACAGTAATGGAGAGTTGCTCTTAACTCGTATCCATAATTATGTCCTTTTTCTTTCTATATCAGATATATATATATATCAGCAGTCTGGCTGTCTGCATCATTGAGTACAAATCAGATTATGGTACGTTCGGACCTGGTTTGAATTTTTTATTTCCATTGCTATCAGGTTCGGCCTCATTTCCTCTGTGCTGCGCTGACGAGTCCACAAAGGATGAAACAGTTCTGTCCGCAGATTGAGTATATCATAATACATGTCAACAATATATTATATTTTATATCTCAAGAGTCCATAACCCCAAGAGTGTGCAACTCTTTATATGGGCATCTGCGCGGCGGAATTCCAACTCTAGGTGAAAAATGAGGTACGCGTTCTTTGGGCTTGTACAACTGCCTGGTCCCAAGCACCTCATGCATAACAATCATGATGTCATCTATAACGGTCATGGTGTCATCCGTAACAATTATGATGTCATACGTATCAAGAACAAAGCTGGACAAGGAACGGCGGAATGCGGAGTTTTGTACAGCTGGGCCTCAGCGGCACGTCGTAATGTTGGAATTCCGCCACGAAGTGGGCCTACAGCCGCCAAACTCCAAGTGGAAACTATTGGGATAATGGACTGTTGGATATATACATACTGTCCGACCAAGAGTACATAAACCCCCATCACCACCGCTGCTTTGCATTTGCAGCCCCATTTAGTCAATGTATTGTTAGTCTGTCGTTTTGTCATTTCCTCCTTCTTGCTTGTTTTACGAATTGGGTGCGTGGTTTCAAGTAAAAATATATATAAAAAAAGTGCATAGCAGACTCAGCGGAGGACGTTCAGGTTGGTTGTAACTCTGAGTTTCATGCCGCTAGGCAATCATCAGACAACTGATACTCGGGTCTACCCAACAGTATGCTTATAAACATAGAGCCACAAGCATAAACATAAAAAAATAAAATAAGCATAAATATAAAAAAAGTGTGTGCAACTCGGCATGGTTCCTGTGGGAGCGTAATTCGCGCAGTACGTCATTTCTAAGGGCGTGGCATGCCACAGTTGGGGTGAAAAGTTGCGTAACCATTGATTCTGATGCCCGTGCCGATTTACGGGTGACAGGGTTCTGGACCGATAGCCACTGCGCATTATTTGTTACAAGGGTGTTTTGTCCCCACGCGTCAAGCTATCCGTCCAAGTCTCTCCCCTCCCTCTACCGAAGGTTCGAAGGAGGGAAGAAGCGTGGTTACGGTGAACGTGTCAATGAAGTCAAGCATGGCTTCTTCACACCGTCTTCTCCTCCTGTGCTGGGATGGGCCCTGCAGCAGCCGTAGTAGTCAAGAGGCTGGCGTATGGCTTGGCCACCAAACGCAACGCTGCCTATAGTCGCGTTGTAGCTTGGCTGCGGTGCTGCTTGGCATGTTCTCGTCCTTGGATCACGCTCTGTTCACTGTCGTCACTTCGACCTCGCGCCTGTGGACCTTGTTCAGGCTGAGGCGCGTCAGGATCGACATTAGACTGTAGTTTCATCTATCTCCATTCTTCCTGTTGTATGCTTACAGTCCAGCGTGTATTTACCGCCATATTGCCAGGTACGTGTTCACCACCATAATTATGAATAAAAAACTGTTAGTCAAAAAGGCATAATTATTCATACTTCGTTTTGCGTACAGGAAACGTGTCGCTTTGCGAAAACGTTTATCTAAGCTCAAATATGGTCGCCCGATGACTTTCCGCTTACCATTAACAAACTGAAGAATGAATCGGCCTTCTCGGTGGTGCAGGAGTGTCCTGATTTAGGTTTTTTGAAATGTATAGCCTGTTGAATTTACTTTTCGGAGGATGAAGAGTAACCCGTGGCCAAGTAAATTATTCCCTTTCCTTACCCATTGTGCAAGCTCGGGCTAGATACAGATCTATTTCATTCCTTGGTGCTAACCGCTTTAATGCGCTTCCCGAATCCCTTCGCACAAATCATATCCCCATTTCATTTCGCCAGGAATTTGAAAATTTCATTCATCTTGGGCAACCAATAAGACCTTAAGGTCTATTGGGAATGCCCAAGTAAATAATAAAATACAATACAATACAATGTACGGAGCGTACATAACCACACAAAAAACGGAAATCCTGAAACAGTACGTCGAACATCATGCAAACTTTGGTGATTTCCGGGGCTATGAAACACGAACAAGTTTAGTTGCAGCTTGACTGACCTCATCAAAGTGACGTAGTGCACGAACTGCGCTGTTTCTGATCTTATATGCACAGTTGCACACTCTTGTTTATGTAATCTAGGTTGAACACATACCGAAATATGTACAGAAAAACTTAAGGACTGTTGTCAGTTTGCGAGAAATTGACCAAGCGAGAAGCATTAATTCTTTGTTGGTATCTACAATACGTTTCTTCAGAATTCCAAATCTCCATTGCAGCGTATTTCTTGGACTTGAAAATACCGCCATTCCGGCAACAGGCTCTCAGCTGCAACAAATGAATAACTTTGCCAATATTTCGCCCATTGGGCATCATCAGGGCATTGAGGAAGGGGAGGCAAATATACGAAATATAAAGACTAATAATGCAGGCAGGTGAATGTTTTAGAACTAACACATCGTGGTGCCACAAGTGGCAAGGCCAGCAAACTAAATAAACATCACTTATAATGTGACCTAAACAGATCGAAAGAAGAGAAAACTCACACAGACACAATTTGGCAAGAAGGCAAGAATACTAACACTTACACTCAAGTTAACAATCATCACCTGTAAGGTGACCTAAATAGAAGAAAGAAGATAAGACTATCACAGCACCTACAAAAACACTTTGAAGTGTGGGAATGCTGAAGGCGATCTATTATAAAGTGTACGTGCAAGGTACTTCAGGATGTGTAGGTACTGTGTTGTTTGTTTGTTTGTATTTATTTTGATTCCCAAATTCAAACGGGCATAGAACCGAATAACATGACAGCGAATATGAAAATTGTAATGAGGATTAAAACACTTAGATCTTCAGCGTAGAGTCAGCGGTACATTAGAGGGAGATCGGGTACAACAGAAAGAGAACAGAAAAAATCAGATTTCGCTTGTCTTCAGCATCTACAGGGCACAGGTATAGGGGATTACTTGCGTGCGAAACTGCCAAGCGTGATGAATGGCACGGATGTTGCTGGGGAGGGCATTACATAATACAGCACCCTTGCAAGCAAAGCGCCCCCGCACCGCAACCGAATGGGAAACTGTCACGCACAGGCCCAGGCAGATCGGTGCAGAGTAGGGCCGGGGTCAGCGGGTGTTAGCAGGGCTTGCAACTCTGGACTTGACAGTGCATAACGGCAGCGCCACACCAGGTATACTAGCTTCTGATTGAAGACTTCTGCCACACGGAACACTGCCATGCGCTCCAGCAGGTCGCGGGCAGACGACCACGGAGGGCGGCCAAAGACAGCACGAGCCCTACTGCTCAGCAGGAAATGTAGACGGTCGAGGTACCTTCTTTGCCGTGAGCTAGAGTACGCGTTTGAGGCATACAGCAGGTCAGACATTACCTGCTGTATGCCTCAAACGCGTACTCTAGCTAACTGCAAAGCCGGTACCTCTACCGTATCAGGTGATAAAGTCCAGTGGTAGTTCGAGTAGATGGGCGTCGATTCCAGTGACGATCCGGTGACATTCAATCAGTCAATTAGGCGCGGACCATCATCGCAGCGGACTGGTGGTTTGCGTTTCCTTATCTCGATAGCTACAAGCAGTTTCCTTGATGGTAGCGAAGCCTCCCTGCCGATAATCTTTGCCTAGAGGAAGGGCAGAAAGTTGGAAGACTTCGAAGATTGTCGATGCTGGGTACGATAGTTGTAGCCCCAGGAAGCCTTCGCCACCATCGCCCTTGCCTCTCGGTAGTGCTCAGCGAATCGGTCCCTGACCGGCCGCACACAACGTGCAAGACATACAAAAGGCAACATCTTTGACTAAACACTGACTATCCACCATACTCGCATCACATGCACGACACTCCATTGGCCTACCTCTCCCTCTCTTCACCTCCGATCGCTGTTTCTCACGGGGACACACACGTACGGGACTCGACGATCGGACCAACATATCCTTAAAAGAAGGACCAGACACAAAGACAACACGAACATGCGGACTGAACTTTCGAACACGTCGTGAGACACGAGCGGCAAGTGAGTCGTTGATGAAGAGCAGTTTGATGACCGACTTGAATTGGTTGTGTCTACGCTGTTGTTGTTGAGACGGGTGTGTATCTTGTCTCTTCCCCTTGGCTGCTAGACGTGCTGAGTTTATCTCGGTGCATGGATAGTCATTTCTCTCGTTAGCAACTCTTCAATTATGGACATGCTCCTGTCTTCCGCTTCCCCTGTTGATGAGTTACGGATAGCTATCCTCGAAGGAATATGAGAAAGTGCGGGACCAACTTGTCATTGACGACGGAATCCTGTCGCGGAGCTTCAGACTTCCTGCTGCCGAAAGGGTCACCGTGCCGTTAATCCCGGAAACACTAGTGCCTCGTGTGCTGGCAGAAGCCATCGAATATCTGGACATACTAGCTGGACAGTAAATGAACGGGATGCTGCGCGGCATGTGTTGCTTTCCAAGCATGAACGCCCGGTGCCAAGACTTCTGCCGAGATTGTCAAGCATGTAGCGATGCCAACAGCTGTGGAGGTGCGACGGTCCCGCCAGCTCCTCTGGAGATACCCGCGCGACCGTGCAGTGCGCTTCAATACGACACTCTGGAGCTCGGCCATGAGAGGAGTGGACCGTTCCACTGCGTGGTCGTTCGCACCGACGTCTTCACTAAGTGGGTCGAGGTGGTACCTCTGCGACGCCATGACGCTGAGAGCGTAGCGAGAGCGATGACCAGCATCTGCTGCAAATTGGTTCACCGGACGAAGTGCGGTTAGATAACGGAACTGAGTTCCAGAATGCTGTCGTTCGTGCACTGTTCATCCAGTTCGGCGTACGAGTAAAGACGGGAGCGGTCCGACACCCCCAGTTGCAGGGTGGTTTTGAGCGGATGAAGAGAACCATCATCACACTCATGCGGAAGGTCTTGGAAGAGACAGCAGACTGGCAGGCAGAGTTGGAGCTCCTTCTATTCTACTTCCGGACGCGGCCGCACTCAACGACGACCGTTTCACCAATGGTTGCGCTATGGGGCTGGGAATCCAGAACGATCGTTGTGGAAGTGAACGAAGATGCTCGCCTATTCAGCGAGTGGGTAGAGAAGCTGACCGTGTGCATGACATCGTGGAAGCAGAGCTGTCGGCATCGAGCCCTCCACTGCCTGCTGAGAACGTCAGATCACCATATGGTCCTGGTGACGCGGTATTGTTCCGGCGCCCTGGCCGACACCAGAAGCTCTTCCCGCCATTCGAGACAGGATGGCGTGTGAAGAAGATTATATCTCAGTCGACTGTTGTCAGCCAGCATGCAGATAGCGGCGAGAAGGTAGTGAACGTGGACTTACTGAAAGTAGACCCAGCACCGCTAACTACGGAGTCTCCGGATGAGCACGCCAACAGTTCGCACCAGGAGTCCTGCAGCGGCGACAACAATGGCGACGACAGCGATGACGGCAATATCTCCCTCCAGCTAGACTGTGGCGCGGCCGATGCCACCCCGCGCTATGCGCTGCGTCCACCCCCCAGCCGGCAACGCCCGCCTCCGTACTGTCCATGAGCAGTGGCGTCTGCAGGGAGGGAATGTAATGGAAAGCTATGCATGACTGTAGACGCCACTGTGCACTGTTCCCATGGTTACTATTAGTATTCTGTGCTCGTTTGGTAATCTAGCCATGGTGTCTTTGTTCCGTAGGTCTATGCGGTTGCGCATGTAGCCAAGTTCCCGGATGTGTTGTGTAGCCGTTTGCACATGCATATGCAGCATGCTATCCCGTGTGTTGCGGCGGCTGGCAAAAGTCCGACTGCAGCTGAGTTTGTTTGTTGTTCCTTCTTCTAGTTAGTTCGAATTTGCGTAGCTTGTGTCCATTTTGCTAATCTCTCCTTTTCCAATACCATGTATAAACTGTACTATTGAGAGTTGGTGTCGTGTGAGAGTAGCTGTGCGTCGGGGGACGAGGGTTCCACAACAACCCGAATTGCCCCCCACGGCAGCAGAACGGTTCTTCCTTGTACCATCAGCGACCACTTTGCGGTCGTAATGGACCTACCTTTCAAGTGCACTGTGGAACCTCCTGCTGTCTAGTGAAGACTGCTGTCTAGTGCACTTGGAAGACAATAAACGAGCTCAGCGGCCGTACCAAAACTTCCACTCTACCCTCTGTCAGTATACCAGCACTCAGCGAGCAATTCAGTGGAGTAGTCTCCGATCCAAGTAGACCTTCGCAACTATGCCTACCTTGTGGTCCGTCACCACGGTATCCTTTGCGGGAATTCCAGGACTAGTGTTGATGAGGTATTCACCTTCCTCATGAGACTCGATGATCATAAAGCTGAGGGCAGCGATGGTATTCCGGCATACATCCTGAAGCATTGTGCAGCAGCCCTCGCCCCGTCGTTATCCATATTAATTTATGCATCCCGTTCGTCTGGCATTGTGCCCGTCTCCCTGAAGATTGCAAATGTTCGACCCCCTATTTAAGTCTGGTGACAAGAACGCATCTCGCAATTACCGTCCCATATTTTCGCTGCCAATAGCATCGAAGATCTTGGAGAAGATAGTCTACAAACGCCTGTGTGACTTCTTACAATCCCATTCACTTTTGTCCGCCAATCAGTTTGCGTACCGGCCACAACACTCCATGAAGATACCTTGACCTTGGCCATGGACCGTTGTATGTCGTCAGCAGACCACCAGCTACATACTGGAGCAGTACTAGTGGACGCGAGCAAGGCATTCGATAAAGTACGGCACCAGCTCATGATCCAAGATTTGTTTGATTTGGGTGTATCTTCGACTGCGTTGTGTTGTTTTGTGAACTACTTAACGGAACGTCGACAGAGAGTAGTTCTGGTGAGTGGGCAGTGCTCGGGCCTAACTGCATGCGATTGTGGAGTCCCTCAGGGAAGTGTACTGGGTCTTTTGCTGTTTTCACTATATACCATGGACTCCCAACTGTTTGCGGATGACATCCTTCTCGACGCCGCCAGCAGATCCGTAGCAACTCTAAATCAAGTCCTATCAGTTGCTGTGTCAAACTTGGCTGACTACTTACACGGAAAAGGCGTGGTTTTAAACTCCGACAAGACGCAGGTCTTAGCCATTGAAGCATCACGCCGTAGTACCCTGGAACTCAACATCTTCTGCAACGGGACGCCTCTCATCCAGACCACTGCTCGTTTTCTGGGCCAACAGATCGATTCCTGTCTTCGGTGGGACGCGCAGGTCTCCAGCATAGTACGTAAAACTTCCCAGAAGATAACCGCCCTGAGAACCATCCGCCCGTCGCTATCTGAACGCCAGTCGCTCCTCTTCTATACTGCCCTTATACTTCCTGACATGCTTTATGGATCAAACTCGTTCCTCTCTGCGCTCACGGCTCAGCAGCTGCACCAGCGCACTGTCCTCGACAAGCGATGTGTTCGCTGCGTAGCCAATCTACCCTTCGCGTCCCATACCACTCCTGTATACACTCGCCTTTTCCTGACCCCTGTAATTGAAAGTGCCAAATGCAAACTCCGTTTCCTTATTCACCGTGTCCGCACTAGCAGCATCATCCCTCTTCTGAAACATAGAGTAGCCCTCCAACCTCCCAGTAACACACGTGGAAATGAAATATGAGCCGTCAGATGCGAAAAGGGTGCTTATGGCATCACACAGCAAATCGAGTAAAGTGCGTCAGAGTGACAGGCTGTCATGTACAAATAGGTTCCTCGGTTAACTCGGCGAACGTCTTGCGACTGCCGCCCATTGGTTTCCGCCGTGAAGCTTTGGAACACCCTGCCACAGGAACTCACGTCCACTCGTCGTCCAACCCCGTTTAAAAGATTGCTGAAAGTGTTTTTCTCACGACTCCCATCCGTGGCACATTAGCTGCACGTCGCACCTTGCACTCGGCAAACCTGCAAGAAAGCATCACTCCCTGCTCAATACACAGTGTTTCGGGGAATTCACCCCTCATCAGGTGATCTTCAGTAGCCTGAGAAAGATTGTGCCTCAAAAGCACCACTTATATGCTGCTCTCCAGGCCAAACCATCACCAGGGATACAAGCTTAAGGAGACGCGTTCTTTCCAGCGCAACAAACACCTCGTGAAGCCCCCAGTAGCAGCGTGAGTCAGAGTCGCTCATGGAGTTGTGCTAAAAGAATGTTGAGAGCCAGGAGCTTTCAACAACGCTGTCAGCTCCAACAACTACTTGCTCGTCCCCATGAGGTACAACAATACGAACTAAGAAGTTGCGCCTTCGGCAAGTGGAAGGTGCGACGTGCTCCTCGTGTATTGGATCCGGGAATGCGGTTGGCGCAGTGCCCTTCCCGGCCGAGGTAACAGTCATAACACAGATTGCCGCTCGAGGCACACAAGCAGCGAACGAATTTGCCCCCTATCGCACAGCAGACGTTCTACAGCGTTCAAGAGCTGCACAAGCAGAATATGTTGAGGTTTGCATACGGCGTTGCTAGCACAGCCCAGCCCACCAGAACAAGTTTCAAAGTGCTCACAGCCCGCCTCCAGCAAGGACATGGCGTCCGCCTCCCAGTAGCGCAATCAGCAGCATGGTCCATCGCACCGTGGGGCCGTCCTATGGAACACCCTCACCAGCGAAATTCGCCTACTCGACCGTTGGAGTGAATTCGCCATAGCAACACCGCTCTTCACGCCGGCAGGCTGGATATGCAAACTCCATGATTTTTCCCGCCTTCTATGGTCGCAGTCCCATACTTCTGGGAGTAGCCTACACCGCGCTGCTGCTGTTACTGCTTTTGTTGTTGTTGTTGCTGCTGTTGTTGTTGTTGTTGTTGTTGTTGTTGTTGTCGTCGTGAAAGGTAGACCAAAACGAAGCCAGGACTGGTAGTTCAGACTGATAGAGCTCTTAGCTGCAATAATTATAGTGAGGCTGAGAAATATCAGATCAGATGTAGACCAAAATTTAGCCTGTTGGTGATATCAAAATCTCAAAACAGGTGAACAGCAGTGTATTTTTCTGTTTCTGAGTGTGCATGGGAGGGTCTTTCTCTTGGCTTTCTCAAGCTTAGCCATGGCAGCATTGGTCTTGGCTCCCATGACACCACCACCCCAGTGCTTTCGGATCTCGTCGAAGCGGTCAAGGTAGTTCTTGGAGGCCTCGACAATGTTGTTGAGAGCCGATTGGTCCTCGGTCTTGACACCGGTGAAGGCAACAGCGGTAGCGGTCTTCTTGTGAACAAGCTTGTCGAGTCTGGCATTGCCCTTGATGATGACGTATAGGATGCCCATCTTGCGGCAGAGAGCGGGCAGCCAAACGACGATCTCAATGGGTCAACATCGTGGGCAATGACCACGAGCTGAGCCTTCTTCTGCTCAATCAAGTGCGTGATATGGTTGATGCCATACTTCAACACGACTGGCTTCTTGCCAGGAGCAGTCTCCTTGCCCTCGGTCTTCTTCTTGGCCTCCTCCTGAAGACGAACCTTCATTTGCAGCTTGGTCTCAGGGCTGTAATTTGTTGCAAGCTTGAAAATTTGCTTAGCAAGGTTGCGGTCCACAGTGTTAGTGAACTGGGCCACTGCATTGAATCGTATGTTCGGCGAGAGTTCCTGTGTCATCGTGTGCATCTGCTGTTTCATGACCTAGAATTTTTTTTTGATAACTGCATCTACAGCAGCAACTGGCTGAGGTAAGACATCAGATTTGACTGCCCGGAAATTGTAACGGAATTGTGCATGTTGAAGGGGTTTGGTGCCAAAGTTTCGTGAATGACGTGGTTTTGTAAAAAAATATAACATGTTTTTAGTCTTGGAACACACTGCACTGTAACCAACGAGTATTTTCTGCAGTTCCAAATATGTAATTTTTATCTAAAAAAATCTCCTTAGCCAGCTTCTTTGCTTTTAGAACTAAGGGAATTCCAGTGTTGTTCAAAATGTGCAGCTTACTCTATTTGAATATCAGCAGACGATTCAGAGAAGCCATTATGTTTTGTAAAATGTAAATGCTCGTAGAGCCAAAGTCTTGGTCATAGCGGCCTGCTTGCTAATTTTTTTAATCAATATTGCACTTGAAAGCTAATTGTACACAAAGCGTAGTGAAAACATAATTCCTTTCTATTCGAACACCTATCACACGTCAGCAACGTATGGATGGCATACGGGATCGGGTTTGTTGCCGCACCAAATCATGTAGCCTTCCAGCCGGAAGTATAAAAGGTCCAAGACAACACTGAAATGTTTGTCTTGTGCATTGTAACGTCCTGTTTACGCTTCCGTCCAGTCTCTTCGACAACACTCAGAAAAAATGTCAGGGAGGCCAAGACAGTGCCGATACTTCCTCACTCGGCGGGGCTGCAGGTATGGAGAGAAGTGCAAATTCTTCCATTCAGAAAGTAAGTACCTTCCATAGTGGTTTAGAACGTTGGACGTTCTTTTGACCGTTTCAATCTTGTTTCCGGTCTCAACCATAGTGCTAACGTGTGTTTTTTTCTAATTGAAATTTCGTGTTTTTTTCAGGAGTAGTAGAAGTAGCGGCTCAATATCAGTTTCAGCCGCAGTATGTCCAGAAGCAGCAGCCCTCACACCATTCACACCATACAGGGCAAGAGCAACGCAAGCACCACAATCCACAGCACTATGCGCAGCAGCAACATCCACGGCAAGATGCACGGCAATTTCAAGATACACAATACAAGGAACAACAGAAGAAGCTAAAAGCACCGCAGCACACGGCCTCTGAAGAGCCAATGGACACATCGGAGCCGTCCATGGCGTCCATGCAGTATGCATACACCGAGGACCAACTGCATGAGCGAATGGACGAGTCTCCCTAGTCTCGTTTGAAATATTTCTTTTGTTGTAGTCGATCACAATCACCTACGATGTTATAGTCTGGGGCAAGGCCCCCGTTAAACAGTTGGGTACTCCTCTGTTCTTTGTTTGAGTGATTGTTTTGAGCAAAAATAAAATGATATTGTGTGAGTGTAATTTTGTGATTGTATCTGACTTGAGTAACCCATTATGCATAGCCATGATTGAGAAACAGAGGGAACCATATTCAAGTCCTGCTTAGAAGCGGAAGGCATTTTTCCAGCCGTGCTGCGACTTACAGTTAATTGGGAAACTCTTGTCCTGGCGCGAGAGTAACATGGATGCAATTAATACTGGAAAAAATTAAGATTTGGTGGACTTGACCTCAAGCACGGACGAGGGAATCCTGAGCAAAATTTCAATGAAAATAATGTTGACAGTAATTGAAAACGTTGGATGTTATTTAGACCTTTCATTCTTGCTTAAAGTCTGTATCATAACGCTAACGTGTCTTTTGTTTTCTCATTGACATTTTGTGTTTTTTCAAGAACTGAAGTAGCGGTCCGTTATCAATATTGGCCGCAGTATGTCCAGAAACAGCAAAAACAGCAGCCCTCCAACTATACACAGAAAGGCCACCGCAAGCACGACCATCAACAGCACCATGCGCAGCAGCAACATGGGCACAAACACGACCGAACGCCTCATAACCATCCACGGCAAGATGCACGGTAATACAAACATACACAATACAAGGAACAACAGAAGCAGCGAAAAGCACCACAGCACACGCCTCGTCCCTGGCAAGGGTACCTGTGGCCGTGAATAAAGAAGAGCCCATGCACACATTCCAGCCGTTCATAGCGCACGTTCAGTATGCATACACTGAGGACCATCTGAATGAGTCCATGGACGAGTCTCCCTAGTCTCGTTTAGCCATATACTTCGGCCCCAAATGTGTCTCCCGTTGTAGTCGGCCACAATCATGTAAGATTGTATAGTCTCCGGCTATACAGTTGGGTCCACCACTGTTCTTTGTTTGATTCATGATTTTCGAAGAAAAAGAAAATGATATTGTTTGAGTGTATCTGGCTTGAGTAACGCATTATGTCAGAGTGGTATCAAAGTCTCAAAACACGGAAACAGCAGTGTATTTTTCTGTTTCTGAGCGTGCGGGGAGTCGTAATCGCAGGCGAGAGTTTCTGTGTCATCGTTTGCATCTGCTGTTTCATGAACTTGAAAAAATATTCTTGATAACTGCATCTACAGCAGCGAGGTGGTGAGGTGGAGGCTCTTTGGCCATGTCCTGAGACTAGACGACGATGTAACAGTTCGCGTTATTATGGCAGCATACTTCGAAAACCCAAGTTCCGCTGCCACCTGGCGGGGCCGGCCACGTACCACTCTGCCACTGAGTCTGCACCAGGACCTGCAGCGTATCGGTGATCACTCAAGAAACGCAAGACTGAGAACCTCTATGCCATCGCCGAGTCACGACAAGACTTGAAAGATCTATGCAGCGATGTGATAAAAGCATACATCAAAGCCTAAGAGCAGATCCATTTGATGGCAGCGTTCCCACCCCAGGCAGTGTAATGTTGAAGCTTCAGAACTAGCAGCGGCAGCACCAGTAGCAGCAGCACCAACACCAGCAGGACGATCAGCGTTCTAGCAGACATCGGCATGATGGCTGAAGGTCCAGCTCCGGCACAGGCAGCAGAGCATGTCGTGGTGTACGAAGCAAATCACATTGTGTACCTTTCCGACGGTTATACTCCACTTATACTAGCTTTATGAGATGAGGATTATGCAGTACCTGCACCAGAAGCAGTACCAGCACCTGCACCAGGAGCAGGACCAAACGCGCCAATCCTAGTGCTATCATCCGACGACGAAGGTAGGAGGACATGTACCACAAGTGGCAGCAGTACCAGCACCAGCAGTAGCAGAAATACCAGCAACAATCGCAGTACCAGCAGCAGCAGTAGCACCAGCAGCAGTACCAGCAGCGCCACCAGCAGGACCAGAGGCACCGGCAGCACAATTAGCAGCAGCAGTAGCAGAAACAACAGCAGCAATAATAGCAGCAGCAAAAGGACCGTCTTGGTTAGAATACACGGCCAAGGTGATATGACCGTCAAACAACTTGGGTGGCTTCGACGACGAGGCTTTCATCACGCCTCCAGCACGAGAGTTAATGTGCTCAGTATGCAGCGTGGTTTTACGCCACCCCATGTTAGTGGTAAAGTGCGGCCATCATTTCTGCCACAGCTGCAACGGACATGCTTTTAATAATACTAATAATAATAGTAAGTGAAATTGTTGGATGTTATTTAGACCTTTTCATTCTTCCTTAAAATCTCTATCATAACGCTAACGTTTGTTTTGTTTTCTCATGGACAATTTGCGTTTTTTTTCAGGAGATGAAGTAGCGGCCCGTTATCAATATTAGCCGCAGTATGTCCAGAAACAGCAGAAACAGCAGCCCTCCAACTATACACAGAAAGGCCAACGCAAGCACGACCATCCACAGCACCATGCGCAGCAGCAACATGAGCACAAACACGACCGAACCCCTAATAACCATAAACAGTAAGATGCACGGCAATACAAACATACACAATACAAGGAATAACAGAAGTAGCGAAAAGCACCACAGCACACGCCTCGGCCCCGGCACGGGTACCTGTGACTGTCAATACGCAATATGCCAGGGAGGCCAAGACTATGCCGATATTTCCCCACTCGGTGGGGATGTGAGTATAGAGCGAATTGCAAATTCTACCATCCAGAAGGTAAGTACTTTTTTATAATAATAGGACTCTTTCGTTGTTGCTTCAGGTCGCAATCATAGTGCTAATGTGTGTGTTTTTCTATTTGACATTTCGTGTTTGTTCAGAAGAGGAAGTAGCGGATCATTATCATTAACAGCCGCAGTAGGTCCAGAAGCAGCATCCATTACACTTTACACAGCATGGCCAACGCAAGCACAACCATCCACAGCACTAGGCGCAGCAGCAACATGTGCTCCAACACAATCTCCTGTTGCTTTCACATGCGTACCCACAGACTTATCGAAAAACGAAAGAGTAAAAACTGAAGTCGTGATTGAATAGAAAATGTTCCCTGTACAGTTTATCAGATTGAACAAAGAATAATGATTTCTGCATCTAGCACCCTACAAGCGATTGGCTGTGGATTGAAATTAAAATATATTTCAGAAGAATCATTTTCAAGTTAGTGAACAGGTCGTCATCTACAGGATCCATAAACCAACACATATTATATACTATTGCCAAGAATATTAAAGTCAGAGTACAAAAACCTAGTTAAAAACAGCACCAGCAGCAGTTGCAATATTGAAGGGAAAAGGTGTGTTGATAGAGATACCGCGAGGACGCGATGATTTGTTATAGAGAGATAGCGAGGACACAGTAATTGGTGTTAGAGATATAGGCCGGACACAGTGATTGATGTCAGAGATAAAGCGAGGACATGGTTCTTGGTGATAGTAGTGTGAGGACACGGGGATTTGTGTTAGATATATTGCGAGGACACGGTGATTGGTGTTATGCCTGGTTCACACTAGGCCGATTTTCCGGCCGACATGGACTCGTACGCGAAAAACCCTCAAGATCGGGGCGAAAATTGCGTAGTGTTAACGGTGTTATCGTACAGGGTTCCGACAAATCTGCGACGATTTTCTTGTCCCACTAGTTTTCGGCCAAGTATCGACTGGTCGATATTTAGCCGAAAAGCCGGCCGAATTTTAGTGCTTGCGCGTGATGGAGCATGCACCGGAACAATCACTGTAGGCTTTTCACCAT